GTCAGGGTCTGTATAGAGGGTCAGAGTCTGTATAGAGGGTCAGAGTCTGTATGTAGGGTCAGGGTCTGTATAGAGGGTCAGAGTCTGTATGTAGGGTCAGGGTCTGTATACAGAGTCAGGGTCTCTATAGAGGGTCAGAGTCTGTATGTAGGGTCAGGGTCTGTATAGAGGGTCAGGGTCTGTATACAGAGTCAGGGTCTGTATAGAGGGTCAGAGTCTGTATAGAGGGTCAGAGTCTGTATGTAGGGTCAGGGTCTGTATACAGAGTCAGGGTCTGTATAGAGGGTCAGAGTCTGTATAGAGGGTCAGAGTCTGTATGTAGGGTCAGGGTCTGTATAGAGGGTCAGAGTCTGTATAGAGGGTCAGAGTCTGTATACAGAGTCAAGGTCTGTATAGAGGGTCAGGGTCTGTATAGAGGGTCAGGGTCTGTATAGAAGTTTTAGTGGAAACCTCCTGGCTGTTTTTGTGCTGCAGCATGTTTAAACTACAGAAAGCAGAGCTTACCGCAGTAACAGAAGCATCAGCTCTATCGGTGCAGGTGCAGACCCAGTTTAAAAACTGCTCTGACCTCCATATATTTGCTCATGAAGGACCAGATGTGCAGAAGAATGAGGGATTAGAGAAGAGATTGGACACATTTCTGCTTTGGGGAAAAGAGAATGTAAATTTTTCGTCATGTTTTAATGACCAGCATAGTGAGAGGAAGGAAGTTTTATTCCACTGAGGGTTTTGGTCACTCAGCAGACACGCCTGTTTACTCCTCAGCCTTCTTTAGGCTGCTGCCTGCAGAAACACAGCCATGGTCCTGACCTCACTAACCAGCCGGAGCCAAGGAAAACACTCCTGGGTGTCGCAGCATGGCTATGGAAACTGGAAAGAAAAGCAGCGTGGAATTTGGTTGTCCATGTGCTGACCTCACAGATAACCATTGTTTTTCTTCTGCCTGTCATAAATCCTGCAGTCTTCCTCAGTAAAACCATCCTCCTGCTCCACTCCAGATGTGCTTCAGAACCTTTCTGGGTCACAGAGAACCAGAAACACACAAAGATGCAGAAAACTCACCAACCAGCAGAACTTCACTGACTCTTTAAAATTAGTTTCCTTTATTAATGCTGCCAGTGGACCCTTATTAACTGACCTGCAGCTTAAAACACACACACACACACACACACACACACACACACACACACACA